GCACAGCTGGTCTGCTGCTCTGACCCTCCACATGGTCTGTGTCAGCTCTGGAGACACATTTACTGCTCAAACTGCCTCCAAATGTAGCCTGACCCTGTCTATATTACTCCATGCCTGCTTCACCTGTCTCTCCAGGGGGACACGTCTGGCACTGCAGGATTTGATTCCCTGTTGTCGTAGTGTGTTACTGATGGTACCTTTGTTACTTTGGTCCCAGCTCTCTGCAGGTCAATCACCAGGTCCCCCACGTGTGTTTCTGGGATTTTTGATCACCGTTCTCATGATCATTTTGACCATCTTGCGTGGAGCCCTAGATCGAGGGAGATTATCAGTGGTCTTGTATGTCTTCCATTTTCTGATAATTGCTCCCACAGTTGATTTGTTCACACCAGCTTGCCTATTGTAGATTCACTCTTCCCAGTCTGGTGCAGGTCTACACTTCTTTTCCTGTGTCCTTCGACAGCTCTTTGGTCTTGGCCATAGTGGAGTTTGGAGTCTGACTGTTTGAGGCTGTGGACAGGTGTCTTTTATACAGATGAGTTCCTACAGGGGCCATTAATACAGGTAACGAGTGGAGGACAGAAGAGCTTCATAAAGAAGAAGTTACAGGTCTGTGAGAGCCAGAGATCGTCCTTGTTTGAAGTGACCAAATACTTATTTTCCACCATAATTTACAAATAAATTCTTTAAAAATCCTACAATGTGAATTCCTGGATTTTTTTTCACATTCTGTCTCTCACAGTTGAAGTGTACATATGATGAAAATTACAGACCTCTGTCATTATTTTAAGTGGGAGAACTTTCACAATCGGTGGCTGACTAAATACTGTTTTGCCCCACTGTATATGATACACAGACACAAACAGACAAGAAAAGATTGAAAAACAATGTTGACGTCAATGACGTCAAAGAGTTAATCTCAATGGTACTTTCCTGGTTAAATAAATAATTGTCTTTTAAAACCCCACAGAGGGACCCCTAGAGGGAGCCCCGCGTACCTCACTTTGAAAACCACTGTTGTAGTATAGTATAGTAATATGAAATGTATGCAGCAGACCTAGATTGCTTTTATTAACATAACAATCATTAATTAGTTTGGTTAGAAACCCCAATAACTAAGTCATTTTGTTGGTGGTGTTACAAAATGATTATAGTAATATATAACATGACAGTTACTTTCTAAATGTATTAACTAAGTAGTGTAATTTCATTATTTATTGATTTAATTGAACACTGCAGGTCGAATAAATGAAAAATATATGTTTACATTATGTACCACTGTTTCTTGTGTGCTAATTTCTCTTCTGTTTCTATGAAGAAAAGGGGATATAGGTCAGGCCTGTCAGAGCAACTCTTGTGTCATCCCCCACTGGACGGCGCACCGTTCTCGGCTCCTGTGCATCAGCACTCGCCTCGGGACAGAGCTCCCATAGACTTCCATTAAGAGCCCTCCATAGTAGTATATGTACAGCAGCACCCCTTACACAGCAGACACAAATCCCACCCACTCACACCATTAGGAGGAAAGCAGTGCGGAGTCTGCCTTCAGGGGTCAAACACCCATAGCAAATGCAACTAATGGCAGCGTGCCACTCTTCTCCTAACCTTAATATTGTTCTGCAACTATTCCATTGAAACAGAAAGTGTCACTAATTAGTAATAACCTGTCATGGAGCGGCAAAAGCAAGTCTGTAGCACACATACCTTACACAGCACAGATTTTGATTCTTTGATATTCTCATACAAATAAATGACTGTGTGTCTCACTGTGTCAAAGTTAACATAGAAACTTTTCTCTCTCTCATCCATTTGACAGAGGTACTTCAGTGGCTCAATACCAAACTTTGTTGTTTGGTGTGCAGTTGTTTCTCTTTGATTACTGGATTGTGAGTATTGACAGGCGGATGCATGTGATCATCTCCAATAGTCTCTCTGCCCAGCCTCCGATACCATCTGTCTTGTATGGATCTCTGGAGGTTAGAGCCTGAAGTTACGCATCACAATTCTCCAAGGCTGGCACTATAGAAGGTGTGTTTGGGCCAATTGAAGTAACGCAGTCATCTTTGCACACAACAGAGGCTGGAGAATCCCTATTTGCTTTTTTTCATACACTGTCTTTCACACACATCCACACAGCGATCAAACAGGCTTGTGATGTCTTAATTAAGAAGTACTAACAGGCTTGATTAAAAGAAGCAAATGAAAGGATTTCTCAATGAAAGAGGCAATTCCCTCTTCGGCTAATAGCTACATGTGTGGTATAGGATGGTGAGGCAAAGAAAACCTCGTCATAGGAATATGCAAAAAGAGGGCAATAAGTGAAGCGTGGCAAGATGTGATTGATATGAAGTAGAGTGGGTGTACTGCTTCTTATAAGTTCATACGTAGAGGTGAGGTAAACTGCCAAAGAAGTGTACATGCAAGTTAAGATTATATGTGAAGATATGACAGCAAACAATCTATTACCAAAGAGCCGCAATTCTGTTCTTTTTTTCTTTCTTTGGCCATATCTTGCTCTCGATCTTCTGTCACGAGTCTCTGCACTTTAAAGGCCTCAATTAACCCGAAATGAAAAGAGGAATCTGGCAAAACGATACATTGCTCCTGTTTGCTCTACTCTTCACTTCCTCTCCATTCACTTTTTTCTTTAACAGCTTGATTTTCTTGACTTATTTAAAATAAAATAAAAAAATACAATTTCAATAAAGAAAAGTAAATGAACGACTGTGGTCTTAGCATTACCAATCATTATTCATATAATTATCTGGCCTTGTACCATTGCTCAATGTACAATATTTAAAACAGCTGTTAACGCCAAAGATTAGAACATGAATCATTGAATATGAATATGAAAAAGCACAGACATATAGATACAGGCATAAAAGGTCTTCTAAAGCAGGCTACAGCTTGTGATGTCAATGATCAGTTGTAGACTTTGCCCACTTTGATACTGGACCTATGAAATAAGTGTCCATTAAAAAGTCTCTTCCTGGCTGTGCCCCCTACTGATGGTTGTGGCGGTGCATCCCAGGAGCTGACAGCCACAGCCTGTGCTGCTGCTGCAATCCTCAGCACAGCTGTCTGTTGTCTGCTGCCTCCAATCTCAGCTTTGTGAGCAGTCAGCAGGAGTCATACACACCTCAGCCCCATCATCTTTCAAACTCTGTCCACTCATACTACTAGTCCATGAATGACAACCTAACATATGAAATAATAGGACTAAGAACTAACATTTTGCTGTATACAACGTAATAACTTTATGGCAATATCCAACACAGATTTCAGCGGTCCAACTAAACAGCTAGTGTGAGTGCTAAAGGGCGACATGTTTAAAAGGCCACTATCACTTGTGTCAGCATTTCATCTGAGCTCTGGCACCATGTTGACGTGCAGCAGATGAGTATTAAACCTTGAGAAACAAAGATGTGCTTGAAGCCAAACTATGCATACATATTATCCACACACACACACAGTAAGGACAGGCTCTCACAGTCTTGAGCATCTCTCCCAGCAGGCACACAATCACACTCAGGCAGATAATTCAGTGTCACAGGGAGGCTGGACTGACCCTGCGGCCCCCTCCAGAAAGGGGCAGCAGCTGTACAAGGACCCACGGCCGCAGAGACACTCTTCCCTCTGGGAGCCCCGACCACAGCGCTCCCTCTCTGGCCTCAGAGGATGACCAGCTGAGCTTTAACACTACTCTGTGTGAATGCTCCGCTGTTGTGGCCAAGACACAGAAAGCAGCAGTCAGAGGCCATGTGTACACCCTACAATCGCTCATCCACTTTTCATAGAAACAACAAATAAGATGAGGAGTTGGTCGATGTTTCTCCTTATCCCTATTATCTACTGAATGTCACTGTATGCACACCTGCCAGATACTGTATGCATCTAACTTTACACTATATATACAGTATATCCATCCATCTATTTTCTTCTACTTAATCCATTACTGGGTCAGGGGGGTGGCAGTCAGAGCTGCACCCAGTTCACACAGCACCAGCCCGTCACTGATCCTCCTGCAGGTGGTGAGTCCACAGGAGCTGAGATCTTTCAGAGGGGGTTTCAGGCAAAGTGGGCTTAAGTGTCTTTGCACACACACAATGCCAGCAGTCATTAGTGGGAGTCGTGAAGTAGGTCTTGTGGTGGGCTCTACCATGCTCACCATAAGACTGTGAGTAAGAAGTCTTTCTAAGTGGACTTAACATGTTATCGTGTCTTGTCTTCTTTTCCAGTGTATTTTATAGATTTACAGAATAGCTGTTGTTCATTACTAGATGCGGTTCCATTCAATTACACAAATAAGGCATATCTTGAGATCATGTAGAATCATGCCTGCAGAAAGTTGACAATAATGCAGTGTCTTGTGTGCACCTAAATGATTGAGGCACACTAATGCTTGCAACGCACACACAACGCTACTAAGTGCTCATCAATATTGTATACTCAAATGTTAACTTTTTTCCACTCAATGTTCTAATAAAATATTAAAACAAAAAGCATTTGTATTATAACAATGAACAATAAATTATTATTTTCTATTAATAGGGAGACATATTTTATTATGGATCAAAGTTGGAAGGTAAATAGAGTAATGTTACGGCCCAAAGCCTGTAAATTGGTACTTTTTTAGAATGTAATGTTTTTGTGACACTTCCCTTTTGTTGAGACAGCAGTAGGTCTAGAGTTTAGTTTCTGTGTTAGATCAAGTCTGTCCTCATTTATTGTGTCCTTTTGGTTTATGTCACCTTACCATTTACCTTCCTGTAAAAACAAATACTTGCTTTTCCGTTTAACATTTTTGTTTTTTGTTACCTCCCTTAACCTAGCAGAGCTGGGTCATAACAAGTAACATCATATAATGTGGATTATTTGAATTGACATTGTACCAAGTCAAAGGCAATCTCATTACACAGTGTGAGTAACAAAACAAATTATTAACTATTAAATATCCATGAGCTTTATTTAAAAGGAAAAAATATATACAAAGTGTGAGGTCAATCTGAATCTATAGAGCTTTTTACAATCTGTTTGTTTGGGTTTTCTCCAAGGGTTCCAAAGGTATGTGGCGGCCAGAGCTGCAGACAGAAAAACAAACACTTATTTAAAAGTCTGCATTTCAACAACAGTTTAACCCTATTGTTGCCCCAACTTATTCTTGGAAACATGGGGTTTTATGCTATCAGCTGTCGTCATAGGGCCTCCAGGAGAGTGCGGCTGTCCAATCAGGAGGACAGAAGGGTGGCTGACCTGTTTCCAGGGTCATGGTTGCTATGACATCCAGTAACGTGACAACACGGCAGAATGGAAAGCTAGACAATATGTTGTCCAGGCTTCGGTCAATCAGACGCACTCACTTTGAACTTCAACTGACTCATGTGTTTCAATAGGGTTATACGCGTCGCAATATGGGCGAATGTATTGTTTGAGTAGTAACAATAACTTCATGTAGAATGTAGGAAATGGACTCCTCTGTGAGAAAACCCAAGCCTCCAAGATTGGGGCTAACACAAAAGACCCTTTTGGACCACCCCCAATAGGCCTGGATGATTGTCTATTAGTTTGGATAAAGCTAGAGATAAGCCAAAACATAATTTTATTGTAAGTAGAACACAATTTTGATTTTTACAAAGATTCACATAAACTGATCTCTTCATAATGCCTTGAAGAGGTAACATTTTCAGAGAGTTTGAAAGTTAAACCTAAACTGAAAACCTGGTGCATCCCTATAATTATATGAGTTTACTAAACCAGCCCAAGCAGGTACACTAGTACACCCTTGTACTAGTTAAGGATGGCTAATGAAAACAGTTAAAAATGATGAGTGGAGTCAACTCCCTTCATTGGGAGCCCTTGTAGCTGGAGATGCAACTTGCAGTACAATCCTGTAGTAGTATATAGTAGTAATGAAATACCTTCAGGCAAACCCGTCCTCGAATTAGGCCGTAAGGAATTGGGCCATAGTTTCTGGAGTCTGTAGAATTCTTCAGGTTATCCCCTTCAAGCCATACATGGCCTTTTGGGACCTGAAATTATAATGTCATAATAACAACAGAATGTAATTTTATCTCATTAACACAGTCATAAATGCATATATAGATTCTTATATGAAATAATCGGCTTTATGTCATCGGAGTCAACTACTTATATAGTAGTTTTTAAGAGTTTTGCAAAGAAAGTTTAAGTAGTTAACGTGTCATCAGGATCGTCTATAAATGCCAGCTTTTTGCCCCTAACAATTTCCCTCACAGATTTAACGTCAACCTGCCTATCCCTCTTTAGCCTGGCCCCGTCTTAGGAGTGGGGTCATGGGTAACGGGCAGGGTCAGAAGGAATTATCAGAACTTCAAACAGGGTCATTAGGCTGTTGGCTGAGATGTGCGCCCCTCTTACCCGAGGAGGGCCACGCTACACTAGGGCTTGAGTTAGCCAGGGAGACACAGGGAGGATGGATGAAGAGGGCTAAGCCGCGGCTAGCAACAGTGTCCAAGGGTCTGCACTGCGGTCCGAACTGCCACTGGGGCGGTCATCCAAGCAGGCTCTAATCCACAGTGACACCAATTATGATTAATCTCATCACTTTAGGAGAGTAGGCTTGTCAAGGCCCTAATTAAGTGCGCTGTCCCCCTATATATGCAGACAGGATCAACAACACATTATATTGTCATAATGGGCATCACAGTCCACGAGTCTATTTTTGTGTTGCCTAACTTTTTAACGATAAAGGTCTCCTGGAAAATATATGAATTGCAGAAAACGATCATTATCTACATGGCTTATTTCTCATCCTTTCTTCCAATCACACTTAATGATGGCTCTGCTAGTTTGATACTCGATAATTGAGACAGATGATGTGTCATAATCAAGAGGCAGTGACATGCTGACCTAACACGAGGTAAACAACTCAATGAATAACGACGTCACAAATGAATATGATTAAAGGAGTCATCAGAGAACCATATGCCAGCATGCTGGATTCCCACCATTACACCTCATTAACATGGTAACATATGCTGGCTCCCAAGCACTAGCAAAAGAAACATCACAGTTTGTCATCTGCCAAACATGAACTCCCCACAACTTCCCATCTAATCTCTGCAATTCTGTAAGTCAATGTAAGATAATTTGATGGAACAACCAAAAGTGACCCGCCAGAAAGGTCAATCCATATTCTTAGTGGCAATTAGTATGTAAAAAATGCAATCACAGAAATGGATCAGCATGCATACAAATGATAAAAAGTACTTTAAAGATAGCAAGATATCAGTATATATACATCAACAAACAGCTACCCATCGCAATTGTGAAAGTAAAGAACCCCATGTCAGCTCTACTTTCTCCATGGCAGTGATGGATGGCGCAGGCTGCTCCTATCCTGTGGTTGCAGCGTGGGTTGACATAAGGCATTGTGTACCTGTCAGAAAGACCTGTCGGAAGGTGCTCCTACTCACTGCAAACGTGTGCTGTTTAACGGCCTCCACATTACAGTGTTCATTATGTTAACATGATTGAAGTGGTTCATTTTGAAAACACTAATACTGAATGTCTCATCTATCTCCAGACTATTTTAACACTTGATCCATGAGAGCGGGTGTCATCTCCAGCCTTGATGTCTTTTCTATAATATACGGGTTCAAATGTCTTTGTTTTGACACCAACTTTTCAGACTTGAAATTATTCTAAAAGATGACAAGGCAATTAGTATGTTGTGTGGGAAAGGGGTGGAGAGGAGTTGTCTATCACAGAAAAGTCACAGACAGTACCCATCCGACTGCACCACACTTTACGAAACCTATACGAGTTGGATTCAATTCTGTCATGTATCAATTATATTATACAGTGTATGAGTGATGACAAATAAAATCAATAAATAAAATGTAAATGTTTGCATATATGCCCACCAAAGGGTATGAAACTACTGACAAAGGGTTAGGATTTAAATATCCTCCTTTTCTACTTTGACTTATTCTATCACTAAACAACTTGGATCAACATTTAAATAGATGTGAAGCATGAAAAGTGGAGGACAAAAATCTTTTAGATGAGATAACTGTATTTCTCCTAAAACAATCAAAGTTTAATTGTCAAAACGTTTAAAATAAAAAAATCTTGAGTATGGGTTTAAACGCCTTGTACTTTTAAATGCTATGTCGTGCTTTTAAAAATCTACAAGCTATGTCTTTGTCTTCCCCACCTTGACCTCCACTGTTCCTGTTCACTGAGTTTTCTTAATTACCTTTTGAACAAAGAGAAATGTTATCTCTTTGTTATCATACTTTGTGAGCATCCATAATTTTCAGATTCAGGGTTCTAGGCAACTACTTAGACCAGTGGTCACAGACGTTTAGATCATCCTGATTCAAGTGCTATAGATCTCCAAAGGATTTAGTCGCTTAGGAAGTAATACACGTGACGTATACATGGGGGAAATTAGGACTGTTGGTAAAAGTTTAAATTTAAAACTATTTATATCTTTTGAATGGGAAAAAGGTTGTCAAAGTATTGCATATAACAAGAACCTCAGACTCCATTCGCCCAGTACTAAATGTAAATGTGTAAGTTTAAATGTCTAGCATTGTCATGTTAGACGGCACGGTGGCAGAGTGGATAGCACTCTCGCCTCTCAGCAAGAAGGTCCTGGGTTCGAATCCCGGTCGGACCAGGGCCTTTCTGAGTGGAGTTTGCATGTTCTCCCCGTGTCTGCGTAGGTTTCCTCCGGGTACTCCGGTTTCCCCTACCACTAAAAATATGTCCAATAGTTCTAGCATGCGCCTCCTGTACTGGCGACCCCGCTCCCATCTCTGTGTGGAGTGAGAGACAAATGCCCAAAATTAACAATTGTAAACCGCTTTGAGACTCAGATCTGCAGTGAAAAGGCGGTATATAAATAAAGATTACTTACTACTTACTTACTTGTCACAATTGATGTATCTATATTATATTGAATTTGAACAATTATCAAATCGGGCAAAGGTTGGCAGCCGATTGTCAATCCCACCCGATTGTCTGAGGTTTCAAAATTATACATCAAAATGAAATCAAAAAGTACTTAATTTAGATGACAAGATCAGAGTTAAATAGCAAGGACACATAAAAAATATTCCCTGATTTACGTGTTTAAAATTAGGTAAATATGTATGTAAAATATGGATCATCACATCATACTTTCCACAAAATAAAAACAAATGTTAAAGTTAAACGGAGACTGTACAATGGTTAATGTCGCACGCAAGTATGGATTCATCCTATATCTCAAGAGGCTGCTCAACAGACTATGCCATACACAACCAATAGAGGAAAACATAAATGCAACCTTTGCTTTGAGAATGTATGTACACAGTGTCACAGGCGCACCCCCGCCCACCCATCATTCTGTCCAGTCGGCTGGCACTAACTCTAACAGGCTTCAGAGTGATTGCAGGCCGAGGCTATGGGCGTTGGAGGGAGTAGTAATAGAAAAGCAATGACAGTGGTTTCGCCGACAGAACCCCTGCTCACTCTCTGGTTTTATCACTGTTCCGAGGAAATATAGGTGTCGGCAAAAGCTAATATTTTGAGCCATGACACAAAATGGATGTGTGCTGTCTAAAATGTAAACAACTGTGATGGTCTATAGACTGTGCACACTAAAAAGCTTATGTCAAAGTGAAAGGGGCTTTTGCATAATGCATGGAGATGGGATTCGCCATTTTAGGGTGAAACAAACTATCAGGTGTTTTGTTAGGGATGAATGCCTCACTCAATTGCCATTTGACTGACTGGGAAATATTTTTTGAAACAGTCTCTTTTAAGAATTCTCTGCTTATATAGCTGGTTACAGAAAAAGTACATTGAACTGAAACTTACTTGGTAAAAACGGGTAATAGTACACTACACAATGGTACAACATATATACAAATATACATTGTAAGTACGTAGGTTAAAAATGCTCACATATGTGTGGGAAGTGAAGAGGTCGGAGTGATTAGAAACTTTGTCACCTTCCACACCAATGACTCTTTTGCAGATATTCATAGTTGGATCAAATTGACTTTTTGCAATGACAATATCACCCCTGAAACAGACAGACATACAAAACAGAAAGTGTTGAATTGCACATTATGTAAAAAATAGATTACCTTATATGGGAATTAGAGAGCTATACAAGTGATCTGGCCTTCTGTAACTCACAACGACCCGATTGTGTATCCATGTTATGACTCTGATATGTTCTGATTGTCTCTTGATGCTACGCGTATGCCTTTCTGTGTGTGACGTATCTCTGACGTAACAATGACTATATACAGTAAACCATGTCCTGACTTTTTTCTGTCTGAAAAAAACTGAAGCAACTGAAACCTGAAGGAAACCGAATAAACTTCCAGAAGCACTGGTGCGCCTCGATCCCGTCTCTGTGTGCTTAATTTTCCACACTCACTTTTGTATTTTGTAAAGATGACGACTCATCCTCTCTGAAAACACAATGTCATTGCTGACAATGGTTGGCTCCATGGAAGGACCAGAGCACTGTAACAAAATCAAATCTCTGCTTAGAAGAATAATCTGGAAATATACACTTGATAATCAGATAGTATTGAATACAAACCACTACAAATTCTCCAATGTATTCAAAAGCACAATGAGCGATGCAACCATACTGTACAGTGTATCCTATAAAGCCCAGTGTCTTCCCTAGTAGGCCCCGAAACATCTTGACCTGTAGAAAAAATACACAATATCAATCAGAAAGGTATTCAGACATGACTGGCATGGTGAGTGTGTCCACTTATGGTAGGCTTAGGGTCTCTGCATGGGCCAACAAAGGCTTTTGGGGGTTTGTGGTTTTACTATGAAGGTGCGGACAAGGTTGTCACAGATGGCCTACTGCTAAAATGGCACAGTGACATGAAACGGGGTGTTTCATTCTCTGAGCTTCAACACCCTCTTAACACCAGAGAACTGCTCTGAACTTTGATCTGCAGTAGAATGAACCAATCAACACCTTGTTCTCAGGTGACGGACAAACACTGAAGCTGTGACACTTTTAGCAAAGCGGTTCTCTATCATCCTCACTTGGTACCTGACACGGTGTTGCCTCTGAGCGTGCCACAATCAGCAGAGTAGTTATCAACTTGTGTCAGCACCATAGAAACAGAAAGGCAATCCTGAATAGAACACAACCAAACGCCCTGCAAACACGTGGACACACACAACACACAGAGCATCTTCTATAAGCAAACAGCTGACCACACTTAGGATGTTGACTTTTACTCCATCTGCAGGAGAGACACAGGTAAGTGAGTTAATTTTTACACAGTGCATACGTACACAGCGGCACACATCACAAACTGCAGATTGTGACTGTTTTTCTGCCAGGACACATCAAACTCCTCCTCTCCTGCTCCTCCACTCTCCTCATGCCTCCTCCCAGGGTATTATTAACCAAAGCAAGCAGAGCGGAAAGTAAAGCCCCCAAATCCTCGGAGCTCTGGGAATGACTTCCCAAAGATGGACACGGATTAGTCCCCTCAATGTCTCCTTTTGCCCTGCCACCTCCAGTCCTCCCTTTCCTTGCTGGGTCCCAAACAGACCGAGTGTCAGGTGGCTCTCCCGGTCTAGCCAAAGGTGTTACCCCTAATCCCATTACCCCCTCTGGTCTTCTCACACATACAAATACATAAAAAAGCATGCTTCCATTTTAGCCATAAATATTCCAATTCATGAACCCCCAATTCATCTGTATTTCAAAAGCGGAGATAGTCTTTGATCGACCCGTCATAGAATTGCCACAGCTATGTCCAAAAACAAAAACATGCTTTTGTTGTTATTTTGCACCATTATAAACAGATAAACAATCACAATAAAGCAATTTCATTTGTAGGACTATAGTTGTTAAGTCAATTGATCGGTCAAAGGTTTCTTGGTAGAGAATTAGCAAAAATCAGAAGCAATTAAATGAGGATCTTACTGTGATATTAAAGCCAGATTTAACACCCAGTTCACAAGTTTATCAGTGCTTACAGAGTATATTGTCACATACATAACAGATAGTTTTCAGAGCTTTTCCACACCACCGTCGACTAATTGATTGACAAGGCCAAGAAATGATTTAGTCGACTAAAGATGTTCAATTACAGCCCTATTACTTGTAGCCAAAGCCAAAGAAAAAAACAGTATAGGTAACAGTATTGAAATCTGTTTCTTATTTGAATAATCTGACTTGAAAAGGTAGATAAAGCCTATGCCATGAAAAGTCTACTTTCAGAATGACTACCCTCCCAGCTGGTGCTGCAACACCTCCGGCCCTATAATTCTTCTGTTGGGATGCTTTGAGGCTAAAGGCTAATACGAGACTCAGACCTGTGCAGATGCAATATGTTCAGCTCAATTCGTCTTGCTCCCTGCTTTATCCACAGCCATTGCAGACACCTATGATCTCATCTGTGCTCTCCTTTCTAAGCTGGAAAAAGGCTTTATGCTATGGCACTTACTTCCAAAGCACAGTGGACAGCAGTGACTACAGCTGCCCTCATATTGCCTGTTCTCCCTCTCCCATTCCAGTGTGCATTCATCATAGGTGGGGATTAAGGGATTTTGCATAACAAGATCACACGGCCAGTGACTGATATCAAGCGAGTCCATATGCAGCCGCCTGGTTTTCGGAGGCGCCCCCTGTTATTGATAGTGTGGCTGGGTGTGTGTTGTGTGAATGTGGTCACAATGGGCAATCCTAGGTGGCTAATGCAAAGTGTATGTGAAACTCCTTTGGGATGGACATCTACAGGGACCACTGATTAGATCTATATTACCACCTAGTCCCTTGAGCACTGAGGTGGGCAGCCAAGAATATAGTGAGGCTAATACCCTGCTCATGTGTGCACCAAGAGTGGCAACATTAATTGAAAGTAGCATTACAGCTGTAAATTAACACAAGTCTCTGTGTGTAATCCAGGATTACACCGTAAACACGTTCATGTGAAAACAAAGCAAAATCACCAGAGCCCTCTCAGCAGAACCATCTGTAGACACCAGCCTCCTGCTGTCACAGTGCTACAGTAGAGAAAATCCTCATTGAAAGGCCACCTATGGACAGAGCTCACTGAGAACCCAACTCTCTGATCCTCTTAGGACAGACATGATCAAGATTTCTGTTGTCTTGTCTTTTGACCATAATCTTACAAGTTGGATTTAAAAAATACATCTCTTATTTACAAGGGTCTTACTTAACAGATATTTCGGAAGGTTTGTTATAACAGGGTTGATTTAATTAGATCTTATGTACATAGGATCGGAATCTCTTTTTCCTCAACCCATTCATATTTTTGAGCAGACAAATAAATATGTACAACTTACTTACTTTGTATTTATCAAATTGACAGAAATATTTTTTTGTTTATTTAATATAATTCATTTAGGCAAAAATAACTGAAGTTAAAACAGAAACATATTTTTTGTGTCTGTTGTATTTCTCTACGATTGAAATAAATTTGAGTAATTAAAATAAAATCCTTCTGTATACTGCATATCAAAATAAAATAGTGAGATTAAAACAACTAAATTTCACTGTTGACTAATTGCAATTAAATGAGAATAACATGTATTTATTTTTTCCTTTGACCATATAGCTCAACAAAAAATGAAACATTAAGAATGTTGTACTTTACAATAATCCAGGCTTGTATTTTAAAGGCCACATGTCATTCCTGGAGACTTATTGAATATTCAATAAGGAAGACATTGGCCTCTAGAGAGGTAAGATTTGCCTTGTGGGTCGTGCTAATTGATATACATAGACAGTCTATTAGACCAACAAAGACCAAGTCAATCCAAATAGCACACAAGGACATTGCAATGGCCACCTTACACCACTAAATTAGGAAAACATGGGCTGAGAGCAAACTGGGCACCAGGGGGGCTAAGAGGCTTACAAGCCCCTTGTCAGATATCTCACTTGTCCCCAAGGATCCCAGATGGAAAGGAGTCTGGAGAAGCAGGCGCAGCAGCCAGTGGCCAGATCCCACCTCTGATGTTGAACACTGGGCAGCAGAAGGCAGAGGAAGGTGGGGCATTAGTCCTGTTGCGCTGAGCTTGAATTGAACTTAATGTGAGCTATAAAAAAGAAGGCGCCCCATCTTTTAGGGGGGTCTTGATTTCTGAAACTTCTATCAGATCAATCAGGGTTAATCCTGTTGGTTTAGACACAGACACCTGGCTGAATGGAGAATGACAGATGTGACAATCCCAGCGTCTTGCATCCGAGCCTTAATTGAACCAACTGATCTCCATATTGCTCTTTTCATTGTTGCTAGTAGCAACACAGCCGCCAAACAGCTGAATGTTACTATTTGAAGAGTGGAGGGATTAAACCTACAATCAATGGGTCAGACCAAGACAATAATAGCTAAGTAATATGAATAACTATGAGAGTAAATGTGGGTTGAAGAACTCCCCAGACAATTACATACAAATATGTCAATAAGCCTTATTGTATTTGTTTTCCTCGCCCTGCAGGTGCACTGAATAAATATGTTTTACCATTCTCCATTTTTATAAAAGGAGGTGGGACAAAAAATAAACAACAAATGCAGTACTAGATAGACAGAATATACTTTAAAGCTACACTACTTAACTTTTCATAAAAAAAAATAACTACAAGGTTTATGTTTCTCCCACTTCCCTTTTGGTTATTCTTTTCAGAATAAACAAAATCTACATTCTCCTTTGGAAAGTATACACGCACTAAGTTTGACTTATTTTCATGCTGGTTAAATGTCTTCTTGGGAAAGTTGCTTTATAAGAATAAGAATGATATCAAAGTAGGTCATGTCTCATGTAAAAGTAAATAAGAGCTGTATGAACAAAAATATCAGGCGTATTGTGTGTGACCGTAGAATATAACTTTCCTTTCAACACTGACCAAACAAATACAGTAGATGGCTATCTGCTTTCCTTAGACACAAAACTTTTACCGCTTCTCTTTTTCCATTCACAGATGGCAGACATAAGATCCCAGCAAGAAAAACAGTTGAGCCAGGAAAGGACTGACATGTTATGACTACAACCATTATTTAACTACATCAGATACTGATATGCAAGCTGGTAAATAAGGCAAAAACAGATGCAGCGGATGATACTTTGAATGGGTACGTCAGTCCGGAAATGCTTATAGAATACATTATACGGTCATTGTCATGAGATATGACTTATCAAGAGGTATTTAATGTTTAAGATTAAGAGATCCTTTATTCGTCCCACAGTGGGGACATTTCAGTGTTGCATCACCAGTTACAGAACCAAGATATGAGGAGCATAATTTAGTCTAATAAAGAAAATCGATAGATAGGTACTTTATTGATGCCGTAAGAAAAATTCCCGTAGCAGTAAAAACACATCCATCCAGACAAACTTAACAAATATATGTATCATTCTAAAAATTTAATAAATGAATATTCTAAAGCAAGAAATATATATTGTTATCTCAAGAAATAGTCAATCCCCACATAACATGTGAGAAGCAGGTCAGTACATATCTTATTTATTCAATTTAGGCTCTGAGGCTTTGCCAGTCTTAACATCCCTAATTGGTTGGCTGTCATTGCAAATAGATTTCAACTGTGGTGGCAAAACAACATTGGTGGAGCACGAGACTTTCCTTGTCCTCTGGCGGGACATGTGACATCATTTTAAGTCTTTAGCATGCTTTAAGATGTATTACTTTCAAGATAAAGCCATGATTATTCTCATTTAGGCAACATGTTTTGTGATAACTAATAAAAATAGCCCACTGGTACTAGATCATCGTTAATGAATATGAAGTCCAGAACGGATTTTAACAAGACCAAAGCGACCCATGTTAGTCAAATACGTATATGTATTGATAACTAACAATAGCAAAAGTACCTGTTAAAAAGTAGCGTTCCAATTATGTGGAAGATTTACAGATCAAATGTGTCCGGCACGAAAAAAAGAAGCCGAACATCCCAAACTTCCGGGTTATATTTCACCTCGGAATATTCCTCTTGCTTATTGGACACATTCCAGTGTTGAGACTTTCTATTGGTCGATGTATTTGTGTCATTACGTCATAGACAACATGGCGACCCCCGTGGGTGGCGTGAGCAGACCTGGAGATAAACCTTCATCCTTTAATTCGACAAGCTTTCAGAAGAAAACAAGAAGCAAGATTCTTTCCATACCCGGCACTAGACCTTCGGTTCAAAACGGGCAGCTTTTAGTGTCGACTGGTGTCACTTCACTCGACTTTTTACTCGGTTAGTCTCGGAGCAGCATGTTAGCATTAGCATGTACCCTCTCACTAGTGACGGTATCATGCTGCATGGAAGGGAAATGTAGTCAGACAGCACCATTCTGCCACCGCTCGTTTAGCTTTGGCTCAGGATGGAACACCGACACACAGCAACAGAAAGACTCATAAAAAGGGTTATTCTTTATTGCGAACAAATCGGACCACATTATTCTGTCTTCATCTTAGAAAATGTGTAATCTGTTCCATACTTGTAAGAAATATGTTAGAGGCTAAACATACATGCATGTGAAAACTAATAGAACCACATTTTTTGTTTCCTGCTCCCAACATTTCATTATAGTTCTCTATCTACACCATACATCGTATTGTATGAGATGTACACATAGCGTATTGTCCATAAATGTGATAAGTGCATTAAGACATAAATAAGATGCCGTTTCGTACACATTAAATGATTTCTTACATAAATAAGAATGTTGCGTTTACTGTCTTCATAAGAATTAAGAATACGTTGGTCTTTGAAATACAGAAGTGTAACTTCAGCCTATTCCATTAAGGTTGTTTAGTCAATCTGAGGCAGTTGCTGTTGTTGTAGTTAGTCTCTTTAACTACATATTTGTATTTATTACAATAGCTTGGGTACCTAACTTTCGAACCACAATGAATGGAACTATGTAATAAAAATCTATCTAACGAGTTCCAAAGCAGTTTGGTACTATCGCTAGTTTTCATATGTGTTCATTTTTTTGGATCATATTTTTCAGACAAAAGGGTGAAAAACAGAGGATCACTCTTGTTTACTTTAGCAAGACTCTTTCTCTTGGAACCAACAAAATGCATTTCATGAAAAAAGTAGAAGTTCAACCATTTAACCTGAACCATGTGTTTCCAGTATAATAATAATAATAATAATGCATCGGTTTTATATAGCGCTTTTTTGGACACTCAAAGACGCTTCACATGTCATTATTCATTCACTCCATACACGTATCTGCATGTTTGATTTGACATATTGGAACACAGATGTTCTTAAAAATAAAAAGTCTGAAGTATTTAATAAATGCTTTATCCAGACCCACAGAATATCAAGAACAGTTGCTGGTTCAGGCAATTCACAGAATCTAAATTGATTTAAAATTATTATATACAAAAATTGCCTGGTTGAAGGATTGAGTACATCAGGGGTCTAAAACCAGGTCTAGGCCAACACGACACATCACTTGCAGGCATCACACTGAACTTTGGCAGTCACAATAACCAATATAGGCCTGACGCGCTTGTTACCATAAAAAAGATAGTTACAATATGTGTTTTTTTTCTTGCAGGTGGTGGATTAGCAGTTGGAGCAGTACTTCTTATTGGTGAGCTATACTTAAAAAAAAATACTTTTTTAAATAAGCATAGAGTAATAAACATGTGTCATAAATATAAACACAGCAATACTGTGTAGTCAAAAGAGGAGCTTAAACTATTCCGTTAACAGCAATTATTGTCTTAAAAAGTACCAAATTAGTAACAAATTAAATATGTTAGTCACATCACAAGCTTTAGCTTACTTTAGATTTGTCTACTTATCTACCAGTGTCTACCAGTCAAATATTATACATAATATTAAATGTTTTAAAGTCTAAACTATCTTTAAAAAAAAAAAAAAAAAACATCTGAACTTGAACCCAAAATGCATTTAGTAATTTGCCTTTTTTAAATTAACTGTCAGTCTACAATATTCATCCTCCCTTATATTATATCATCAATCTAAACTGAGCTGAATTTTATTCTGAGAAAGCAATAGATCTTTATGTGTCATTGTGTTCAGAAAAGCCCCAAAATATGCAGAATATTGAATCAATCATGTCACACTTCACACTTTTATGGTAAGCACTAATTAATATGCTCCGATACAGATGTGTTTGAAGTTTTCAAATGACATTCAAAACAAGTGGCTTTCCTACACATTTATGTTTTCTACTGTGTTATTAGCATTATTACTGTTCATCATAGACTGGGCTATATTCACAGACAGAGAGAGGTTAAGATAGTCTTGTTTTCCCTTCATGCTGTAATTTGTGTGTAGCCAAGGCCTATACCAACTGATGATATTGCTTTGCCCTTTAATTCATCCCCCCAATCGATGCAGGAGTCAGTGATTACACACTAATGCGTTCTTCCCTTCCATTTTGTGAATCAATGTACGGTTGGTTTCATCTGGTAATGAGAGACACAGTAAAGGTGAAATGCGTCTGTGCTCTTCTCTTGTGTTAGTAGAAAGAGAGGCCTGTCTGTGTGTACTGCACTATTTGGTTGTGAGGAGGTGTGATGGGGGACATGGGAGAGTGTTGCATGTTGGGTGTGTGTGTGTTTTTGTTTGTTTCAGGCACTCATCCTACAGCCCTTTAGCGGCGATGGTCTCTTTGTGCAATGCAGACATAATATTATCAGTGGTCGCTGTCTGCCTTTGAAGTGTCTGGAGCTGTCCATGCGGATTTGTCTATCCTTCACTGCAGTATGGTCACGAGCTCGGCAGTTTAAGGAAGGCATCTTGTGCTTTTGTCTGCTATATAGTTATGGGTCATTCTTTCATCCGCCAAAGATGCTACAGACAAACAAGCCCAATGAAAACATAGCCTGACGCTGTCTTTACATTTTCAGAAAAGCGTAGAAATGGGCACAAATTATGTCCATAAAAAGTAATTAAGAAAAGATTGATGTCCAAAACTGTATTGATTTACACTCATAGCTGCTGATTGCAGTCAAAATACCTGCCAAATCATCTGAATATCATAGATTAAATACATTAAAGACCAGTGCGAGAGTAAGGGTAGTATTACAAAATGGGGTGGGTTGGAGGAAGGGCGTTTTGCATTCAGGATAAGTTACTAAAACATGTGTAAATCATTCTAAAAACAACTTGAGAATGAAAATGACACTGGAAAAACTAATTCTTGAATTTAATGTTGCATAGCTTACCTTTCACCAAAACAAGACTCTCCTGATGCTTACATGATGTATGAAATTTAAGGATAAAACCTCAATGTATTTTTTAAAATTATTTTTAAGTGTATCCAGTCACTCTTCATTTGGTTTACTTTGCTCTGAGCCCTGATGGTGCGTACCCCTACGAGTAATGCCTGAGCAAACACTTACAATAAATTCACTCCTGTCTATCAGCTTTTCATCAGCTCCATTGCTCTTCTCACACAGCCTCATGTCATATATCTCATCTTGTAAGTCATATGATGGTAAAAATCTCTGTTTAAAACAATTATTCTACACAGCCTTCTGAAGAGCAGTGAGATGCTGTAGTGAGTGTCGTGCAGTTTTGTGTTAATCGATTGATCGCAAGTAATCAATTATTTAGATAGTGGTCAACTAATTTAGTAATTCATTACATGTGTTTTGAACCTTGCATAGCCTTAATCATGGTAAGAAGAAGTTTTTTTTTCTTAGATAATTGCATAAAGACTGCCGAAATAAATTAAAATGTGTTTACAGAGTCTTAATCAAACAACCCAATGTGTAACAAATAATCTATGATACATTGTTTAGCAAAATGTATAACAAATTCCATACTCACTCACCTTTTGGGATTGACTAACTAATTGATTAATTTAGTTGATCCCGTCGAATAGTGGAATTTTGTTGGCGAACTAATCGATTATCAAATATTTATTCATTAGCCTTAGGTCAGTGTGTTGCTACGGTTGATTGACATCCATCTGATGTCATGCTGCTACTTTTAGGTCAGAACAGACTGCGCCTCACAACCAGCAGTGGGTTTCATACAGTCTGGTTTGGTGAAGTCGAGGGCCACTCGTCGCCACTTGCTGCTATATTTGTTGTTAGTTGTTGCTGTTGTAAACTAAACCACTGACAGTTAAAAAAAGTTTTCAAATCAAGAACCATTCGTTAGTCTTTTTAAGCCACTAATTCGAAGTATTAAGTGTAACATTGATATATAATGTACACACTCATTCAGGCACATATTTCCACATATTTAGATCAAATCAAATTCAAACATTTGAGGGTTGATGGCCAGCAGAGACATCATTTCATTGATTCATCTAAATACAATTATGACACTTTTTATGTCATAAGTTACCAATATACCTCACTGGTCCTAAGGCCTGCCCCCACCCCCTGTTGCTCGTATATCCCGCTACCTCCTGCCTCCTCCCCTTATCCCCCGCCACAACAGCCTAATAACTCCTGGAGGTTCCATTTGTAAGGGTCCCATAGAAACACTGCCACAATAGGCCCCATCTTGAGAGGGCCCATCTGGGAGTCTTTGTGGGGCCATCTGAAAGACACAAAAGCATGCTGACCTAGAAACCCATCAATAAGGGAACGGGGAGCCCCACCGACAACAAATTGAAGAGCCATGGAATTTCCTGGTCTAAGTTAAAGTCCGTAGGTGAGAGCATTACAGAAAACGTGGGAGGGGAGAATAGTAGAGATGCTTAGGATGACATGTCATTCTGCTGTCAGCTGCATGTCTGTGTCCTGACACCATCACAACCGCCATTGTCTGTTGTTTTGTGGTTCAGCCTGTTTTCTTATGGTTGTGGAAATACTGACGGGAAGTTGTGGTGACATGCTGGGTAGATAGAAAGGGATACTAAGGGAGGTACATGCTTCCCATAAACTGTGGTAGCTTCTGCCATACACTATGCTGCCGTGTGCTGGGCCCCAGGCAGCACAGAGCGGGACAGGAGTAGACTGAACAAACTGTTCAGGAGGGCCAGCTCCACTCTGGGCTGTCCCCTGGACTCTGTGGAGGAGGTGAGGGACAGGAGGGTGCTAGTCAAAGTCACCTCCATCATGGACAACACCTCCCACCCACTGCACAGGACTGTAGAGGAGCTGAGGAGCTCCTTCAGTGGAAGACTGAGGGACCCTCAGTGTAAGAAGGAGCGCTACCGCAGGGTCTTTATCTCCACCACTGTCAGACACTGTGTAAGACTGAAAGAACCTGCACTACTATTGACACTGTTTCTTTAATTGCCATTGTTTTATTTTATTGTACATAATATATCCTGAACAGACTATATTTTTTGCCTCTAACATGTTTGCACACTTTTGTCTTTTGCACAAATCTGAGTGATTCAATCTATGCTGTAAATTTCTCCTCTGTGAGATCAATAAAGTCTATCTTATTTTATCTTATATAAAGTTGTATTGTCACTGTCAAAATAAGATTATTACATGGATTATCCAATACTGGGACAGTAGGAAATTCTCTTCAAGTCTTATGTCAGATTGCATTTTGAAGTCATCCCGTGTCCTATATACTCCCTCCATCGCCTTGACAGCGTGACCACTTTCTCCTCCGGTGGGAGGAGTCAAAAGAATTGTCTCGACAGGTGTCTTACTCGCACCTGAATTGCAAGTAAAAGTGGACAGGAACACTGTTGAGACACGAGAGTGGGAGTTGTCATGTCTCATGGTCACACCAAAGCAGCAAAAGCCCTTCTGTGCTCTATTACCAGGATTCTATATGCCACATTGCTTAAAAGTTACAGTTCTAAAAGTTACTTACATCGATTATTGTCAGGTACTGTGATATGGCACACTGATGAGACCTGTGATGATGAAATGAAGCCTGACAGATGTGGTCTCTAGTGATGTTGAAACCTGTTAGACTAAACTACGTCGATACCTTGTCTTCTACTTACACTTCAATATATTTGTGTATGGAGACAGTGGCGGTATTTCTCTGTTTATACTTTACAAGCTTTCATTCTAAATTGTTTCTTCTTTTTTTCAGAGGAGGATCGTTACGATAGCTACTCCCGGATGATTTTAAAATACTTTCTGGCTGAAGGAGTGGTGTGTCAGCATGAACTTTTCTTGGCAACAGCTCAGTATTCTCCAGATGACATACTGAAGGTATGCTAGATTTTATATATTGTGTTTTTAGCTTTGATCAGAGGGTATGGGACGAGATCTGCTCAAACATTTGTCTGTACACTTTGTGTGTATCTTGTTGCACTTGTCAAAAATACACTATGTTACCCTGATAGTGGAGTCACCACTGTCGTTGACAAAGGGACTCTCTTTAGTATGCTTGTTTTTTGTATCATGTTTATGTAGTATGTCCACTAACTGAAAGTGTTAACAAATATAACATTGTTGTAAGGAACTTCCATCCCCTGTTATGGATGATGTCGCTATTCCTAAACCAGTGGAGCATCCCAGGATGTCATCTGACTCTCAAGATAGTGTGGACGCAATGAAGATAGCATGGCGCTATCAGAACCTTCCAAAAGTTCAGGTAATGCAACCCCCTTTAATATCCATTATAGATTCTTCCCTGATTTACACATTAATACATGAATGGTCAACATTTTCTGCATTCAGTCTATCAAAGGCTCTGGTTGAGATAATTACATGCATATTGAAATCATGATATAGGGCAATTTTGATAGTAAAAAAAACTACTACACTAAAATATTGTGACGTTTTCATGATTTATCTGTATTTTGAATTCACTTTTCCATGAATTATCATGTTCCTCAAATTCATGTATATTTTCAAGTTCAGCCAAAACACCACGACATGTCATTTCTAACCCTGAAGCAGCATAATATTTATAGAAATGAAAATAATTCATATGCGACTCTTCATGCACTAAATACATTTAAATAAATGAATGACATTGTGTTTACGATCTCCTTTTACACATATTAATAATAAATGCTTGGATTATTTTCCAAGTTTTTGTATTATATGATAATACAAAAGGTGAATTCTGCAGATTCTGAGCTTTACATGCTGCTATCAATCAGATTGTGATTGTGATTCATATTTGAACATTTCACTGCACTTACTACATTTTACTGCATGTTTTCACTGTGTGTGCTATGTGTCCTTTATATTGAATTTGATTATCACTTCTAGAGCTTGCCCTCCCATTTTCAGCTCTAGTCGAGACAGAGACAGATAAAATAAGGATCAACAAAGAGCTCATCTATAACTGCGTAAAAGAGCAACATCTCTATCTGGAAAAAAATCGATACTAAAACTCCTAGTACAATACAATACAATACAATACAATTTATTCTTGTATAGCCCTAGGTCACAACAGAAGTCATCTCAGAGGACTTAACAAAACCATTGAAATCACCAACACAGGTCAGAAAATCAACAGTTAAAACACATGAAAAATATAAAGCACACAGAAGAAAATGTCCATACATGTTGTAGAAGTGTCCTGATCATCACCAATCCTTTCTGTTGGACACTAACTGTCCAACAAGACCCTCCTGCATCGACAAGGAAAAACTCTTAAAAAACCCAGTGGGAAAAGTGAGAAACCTTGGGGAGAACCAGGGAAACCCACAGGGAGGGAGACCCATTTGAAAAAGGGATCTGCTCCTCCGGACGGACAGGCTAATGATCTAGGACCTAAGCTAGCTACAGAACGTGGACCAGTGGCCGCTGAACGTGGACAGGTCCGGTGCAGGACTGAAGCACTCCCAGGCGGGTCAGGCGGGGCAGTCCGCAGGTGTAGATGGAGGAGGCCAGGCTCAGAGATCCCGTCATCGTACCATGAAACAGACAATGGGACAACGGGTGAATAGCAATGAACAAACTACAGTCAAAATCCTAATAATGCTAAACAGATAAAGTAGGAAGGAGGAGAGGATAGTGCTCAAGTTACCATACTTCTCCCAGCAAACTGTCTCCCTATGCAGCTTGGTCAAAAAGGACTCCAAGATTCCTCACAGTGTTACTGGGTATAATACTGACATTATCGAGAGTGATTATCTGGTTAGTAAGGGAGTCATGCAGGCGCTTTGGACCGAGTAGGATCACTTCTGTCTTCTCCGGGTTGAGAAGTCGGAAGTTAATAGTCATCCACGTTCTAAGGTCCTTTATGCAGGCACTAAGCTTTTCCAGCTGATCCGTCTGATTTGGCTTCATCGACAGATAAAGCTGTGTGTCATCTGCATAGCAGTGGAAATTAATTCCATGCTTTTTAATAATGTTTCCTAACGGCAGCATGTAGAGAGTGAAAATAATCGGTCCGAGTACCGAAACCTGCGGCACAGAGTGATACTAATAGCTAGTTTTAAAAACTTAGAACCGATGTATTTATAAATATTCTTGTTATGTACCTCTTTATAGTAAGAAAAAGGTTTAGCAATTAGCTTTTATCTGAAATCTGAAGCTGAAGTTTGAAAGACCATGAACTCACTTCTACTGGGTAACGGGGTATATTTCATAGGGTAAATGTCATAGTTTCCTCCCTTAGCTGGAGCAAACTGATTTATTAGATTCATATTTATACCCCAGTGGCTCCCAGTTCAAGCCTGTATTGACTTTAAAATCCTTCTGGTTGTTTATTAAGCTCCTGTAGTCTGGCTGGTCAAATAGTTCTGATTTCCCAAGTCACTGCGTCACCTCTCTTTCTGATTGGCTACATGTCGTAGTCTACAAGCTTGTGCTCCTTTCCCCTCGCTGGACACCCCACACTCGGGGATGTTCCGCATGTTGAACATCCCCGAGTACAGATCGGAGCGGTCCCAACGTCCTTCTGAGCAAAGAAGAGCAGTTTTACCAGACCACACATGGCAAGAATATGTTATCTATGAGATTATTTCATGATGATCAGGCATCCTTACAATTGTCAGATTGTCCATCCCACGTAAAGTTACAGTTGGGGTGCTCTGTTGGTCTATCTATTTTCATGACGGCTTTTGTTATTATCAGCAGTTTGAAAGAACCAACCACAGCTTTCTCGTCTTAGATTGGCAATTGTCCTCACACTAAATCCTTCAGCTTCTAAACTCCTTTGTGAAGTGAATGAGTTCTCAGCCGCTCCTTTCAGAGCGGCACCAGATTACTCACACTTAGCTGGTGATAGGTAGGCTTTTCACTGCCCTCAGCTCATATACGTACACACATGCACACACGCCTGAACCCCTGCCTAGCCTGGGAAACAGCGGTACTCTGCAGTCTGAGCACTGGCATGTCTACTCGCTCAGCCCTGTGACCCAGACCTGTGCCTCTGTCTTCCCCAAATCCCTGCCTTTCCCTCGCTGGAGTTGGTAGGCCTGCTCTTTGAGGAGAGGTGACCCTTCCTACTACTTCTCTACAGTCCCGGCACTTCTATAATCCATATCGCTATGTGGATTAACAGCACACAGTGCATCCCCGGGGATCCTTCCCTCTTTCTCTCTCCTTGGGTACTTCTTTATATCTGTGTCCTTTCTTCACCTCTCCCCCTTACCCTGTAAAATCGTCTTTACAAACCACAAGTAAGCCTCCATCGGAGGATTTGCATCTCAAATTCACCCCCAGAGTCATTGCTTACTTTCCCTTTACATACACCTCTGCTGACACAACCCACTGAGTCACTCCCGATGAAGACGTCAGATCAAAGGTGAGGCCGTCAGGGCGGGGAAATAACACTAAGCGGGTTGCCCGGCTCACAAAGAGAAGATGAGCGGCTGACCCCACTGGCCCGCTGACCTCCTCGTCCCGCCAGGAGAGGGACACACCGGGGGACCTAATCCAGATTAAGAGTAGATTAAGGGCCCCTTTAACAATGGAATCCCTAGTTTCTCTCAAAGTGAAAAGCTAAAACTCTCTCTCTCAGCTGCAGGAAAACATCCGCTTTCCCTCCATCCTTGACACTTCTGCTTTCACAGTCAGAAGTGGACATCTATGTCAAGAAATTAGAGAAAAGATTAGTGGACACAATTATTGTGTTTTTTTAAACTTGTATGCTGCAGAAATGTTGTGGAATGACCCATAAACAATGCAATTGAGTTTTCACTGAGGTAGGACACACACTCTTAACGCTTTTTAACAAAAGCAAATCGGTCAGATTCACATTGATTCATCTGTAACTTCTCCACCATTCAACAAACAACATACTTTTGTTTTATTCGGTTAGTTGAGTAAAGTAAAAGTAGTTTGTTTTTCCCTTCACAGAGCACGCTAACAACGTCATCCCGATTTGGCCACTATTATGATGTCTCTAAAACGATGGAGGCAGAAATTCGTCAGGGAGCAAAGTGCCATTGCTTCTACCTCCCTGATCATCCCTGCGAGACAGCTCCGTCAAACAGGTAAAGCAAAAAAATCATCCTCTCATTAAAACACAGTTATAAATATCATATACTTAAACTCCATCATATGCTTAAAGGTTTGCCAGAATTTACAACATACTAAATGTGTGTGCTGTGTGGGCAGATGTAGAACAGGGTTAAAACTGTTGAGCAAACAATTCCGGAAACTTGGTGCACGCAGTTTAGCACATAGTGGTCACTGTTGTCGTTGCTTAAAGGACTCGTTTGTAAAGCTTGTGTATATATTCTAATGAGGCCCTTGTTTGCTCAGTGTCTTTAATTTTGCCTGCGTCAAGTGTACTTAAGGTTCAAAGGTCATACTGACTCTTTACTCTGAGTGCTGCTGAGCAAACATGGGCACACGACACACACGCATCTAAATACAGCAGTCACAGAGCACAAGGCCTATATAGAATAACACTTTCTTTTTGTCAAACGAAAGAGCAGCCAGTATTAGGATGTACAGTGCCTGAAAGTATTCGGCCCCCTTGAACCTTTCAACATTTTGCCACATTTCAGGCTTCAAACATAAATATATAACAGTTTAATGTTTTGTCATGAATCAACAACAAGTGGGACACAATCGTGAAGTGGAACGAAATGTATTGGATAATTTAAACTTTTTTAACAAATAAAACACTGAAAAGTGGGGCGTGCAATATTATTCGGCCCCTTTACTTTCAGTGCAGCAAACTCACTCCAGAAGTTCAGTGAGGATCTTTGACTGATCCAATGTTGTCCTAAATGACTGATGATGATAAATAGAATGCACCTGTGTGTAATCAAGTCTCCGTATAAATGCACCTGCTCTTTGATAGTCTCAGGGTTCTGTTTAAAGCGCAGAGAGAGCCATGAAGACAAAGGAACACACCAGGCAGGTCCGAGATACTGTTGTGAAGAAGTTTAAAGCCGGATTTGGATACAAAAAGATTTCCCAAGCTTTAAACATCTCAAGGAGCACTGTGCAAGCAAATATATTGAAATGGAAGGAGTATCAGACCACTGCAAATCTACCAAGACCCGGCCGTCCCTCCAAACTTTCATCTCAAACAAGGAGAAGACTGATCAGAGATGCAGCCAAGAGGCCCATGATCACTCTGGATGAACTGCAGATAACTACAGCTGAGGTGGGAGAGTCTGTCCATAGGACAACAATCAGTCGTGCACTGCACAAATCTGGCCTTTATGGAAGAGTGGCAAGAAGAAAGCTATTTCTCAAAGATATCCATAAAAAGTCTCGTTTAAAGTTTGCCACAAGCCACCTGGGAGACACACCAAACATGTGGAAGAAGGTGCTCTGGTCAGATGAAACCAAAATCGAACTTTTTGTCCACAATGCAAAACGATATGTTTGGCGTAAAAGCAACACAGCTCATCACCCTGAACACACCATCCCCACTGTCAAACATGGTGGTGGCAGCATCATGGTTTGGGCCTGCTTTTCTTCAGCAGGGACAGGGAAGATGGCTAAAATTGATGGGAAGATGGATGGAGCCAAATACAGGACCATTCTGGAAGAATACCTGTTGGAGTCTTCAAAAGACCTGAGACTGGGACGGAGATTTATCTTCCAACAGGACAATGATCCAACAATAAAGCCAAATCTACAATGGAATGGTTCACAAATAGACGTATCCAGGTGTTAGAATGGCCAAGTCAAAGTCCAGACCTGAATCCAATCGAGAATCTGTGGAAAGAGCTGAAGACTGCTGTTCACAAACGCTCTCCATCCAACCTCACTGAGCTCGAGCTGTTTTGCAAGGAAGAATGGGCAAGAATTCCAGTCTCTCGATGTGCAAAACTGATAGAGACAGACCCCAAGCGACTTGCAGCTGTAATTGCAGCAAAAGGTGGCACTACAAAGTATTACCGCAAGGGGGCCGAATAATATTGCACACCCCACTTTTAAGTTTTTTATTTGTTAAAAAAGTTTAAATTATCCAATACATTTCGTTCCACTTCACGATTGTGTCACACTTGTTGCTGATTCTTGACAAAAAAATAGATTTTTATATCTTTGTTTGAAGCCTGAAATGTGGCGAAATGTTGAAAGGTTCAAGGGGGCCGAATACTTTCGCAAGGCACTGTATGTGGTATATAGCTTGATATTAGTAGATGGTGAAGAGCAGCTGTTCAGTGTGTATGAGTGGCATGGTCTTATCAGCAGGAAACTACACCTGCACTCCACTATTGTGCTCACAAGCTGTATAACACTCAGCATTTTTCACACACACCACACAAACTCCCAAGCAGGCTACTCCCCCGTACACGTGGCCATAGCCCCATGTTGATACCCTTGCTGTTAAATTGCACCATTTCACTTGAAGACATAATTGGTACAAATTGCTCTCTAGGTGATACAGATCCTCTTGTTTAAAACCACCGACCCCCCCCTTTGTCCCCTTTTTTATTCTTGATTGAATGTGGGACAAAATAAAAGCTCTTCTCTTGTATGATCTTAGTTGGGTAACACTATAGCCCCAAATCAATGCACCTAGATCTCATTGCTACCTGAATGAGAGATGCCCAGTAGGGGTAGCTTAAACACAATGCTCTCCCACAATAGCTGCCAACAACAGGAAACCTCGTGCCTAACTACATTTCAAACCACCCCAACCCCCTGCGTCTGAGAGCGGGCATGGGCAGAGAGGCCAAAGAGGGTAGGTGCCCTTGTTTCACCAAACCGGCTGTATCATTAGACACAGCAGGGTTAGGACACGCTATTGTTGAGCAGAATAACTGAAACGGAGTACATAGATGTACTTGGTGTAAGTGTAATCAAGACGAGTGGTGTATTACTGTTCTTTATGTAGGACTATTGACGTGTGACCAATCTGTGCTTTTGCAGCATGGGGTTGAATCGACATCTGACTTGTAGCTCAGTATGGCTCTTTGCAAAGTAGTCATTACCATGATGGGGATTTTCTAAGTGGACAATTCTGTAAAAAGATAGGGTTAAAATTGACATTAGCTTTTACCATTTTGGAAGTGGCCCATAACTTTCTCCTGAAAAATACCAAACTCAATTTCCGTGTTTGTAATTGTCATATCACTTACCACTTCTTTATATTAGTCTTTGAAAAATGTGTGAATATGACGTTTTCTGTTTGTCGAGGCACAATAACATCCTTGGGGAGCTGACAAGAAAATCTGTCACGTTGTGATTTAATCAACCAAATATATTAATTGGATCTGTTGATATGGGCCTGTCTGCTTCAGTGGCTCCAGTAAAGCACAGTCAGGAAGAATATACTGCAGTTGTAAAGGATTAGGTTACTGATGGTTATGATGAGCTAAGCACAGTTATGTTAAAATGGTTGCACTTACTAAACATGTTTCTCAATTTCTCCTCTTCCTCTAGTCCAATGCTGGAGTCCTATTCGTCTTTGCTAAGGTCACTTCAGGAGGTCATTCAGATGGAGGGATTTGCAGTTTCTGCCTCGTCGGTAATAAATACTCAATTGGAAGGGGCTAACACTTGATTAGCTTAGCAATGACGCTAATTTGCCAAGATGCTTGTGTTTGCAAAAGGCCAAAATCCACAGACTAATATTTTTTGACTAAAATATTTCATGATTGAAATACTTTTATTTTATCCATTTACTCCATTTGTGATACATCCTGCAACCCTCAGTTGCTGTGTTTTATTTGCCGAGAAGATTCAGTGACCTCCGTGCTTGTCACCTGGAGCCACCTCTCCCCCATCACTCAGATACAGGGTTTAACAGGCCTACCCCCCACCTCTCCTCCCCACGCCCTGTCACTCACACGCCAGATTAACTGCTGACATCATTAAAGCAGTGTGGCCGCCTGACATACTGTTGGCACAGTCCAGGAATTCACAGAGCCACATGGGCACTGACACAATAGTGTCCTATATGGATAACGATTTATATATCAATGTACATTAAACATTATAATATAATTGTATTATTTTATATATTACACATGTTTTCCATTCCATTTATGGAGCTTCTCTTACTCTTTGCCAAAGTATTGGCTGCACTTAACTGGCACTGCTTTTTCTGAAGTCTAGCTGTAGGACCCATGTTTGCTTATGGTCTCTGTTATAGTCACAGGAACCTCCACACCCTGCTGAACACCACATATTTTATTTTAACATATTATTATAATATTATATTATATTATATTTTCAGTACAGTGTAGCATGAAGCATAAGAACTGTCAAGTGCTGCAGTGGATCTTGTCTGGAAAATTTGAGTCAGCTTTGAAAAAGTCACATGAACAATGAGGTTTATTTTTCTTAGAAGCCTGTAACTCTGATCCAGATCTAAATATGGTCTAGCTTTTGTTAAACAAAGCAATGGAGAGTTGGGTGGAGATAGTGGGAGACTAAAACATGGAAATATAACATAACAACAACTTGAATGTCTTCAAAATAAGCAAGCTCTAAAATAAACAATAGTTGTTGAAAACAATCTCTTTGTTAGGACTTGCTCCTTGCAATATACTGTTGTAATACATTATTGTGTTTTGTTGTTATTGATTTCTGTCTACCCTTACTTGGGCCTCTTTGGCTGAAGAGTACGACTGTATTGCCAAGAATGTGCTGGGGTTTCTGGGAGGCGGCCATATTGGAGAATAGACTGACAGGTCTATTGTGTCCGTGTCAGATGGCCCCTGTGATTGGACAGTTGTGTCCAGTTACATTTAAGCTCAGTGTCCTAATAAAGTTGGACAGTCCCACTCAAATACCAGATTATTCTTTTCAAAACATACATATTATGATGTTCTTCACATTCATTTTTCTCAGATTTAACTACATTTGTAGTGTGTTATCTCATGTAAACTGGACAGGCACACTGGATATTGTTTCAATGCATACATAATTTTATCATGATCTGTTTTACAGGCAAAGTCAAGAAACATTCTCCGTATTGGGCTTCACTCCCTTGGCTCGACTCTTTGGGGTGATGACCTGTGTTGCTGTGACAACCCAAAGCATGCCCACGCCCTCACAACTTTTCTTTACGGTCTGCGGGCTTTGCTTAGGTCATCACTGGCTGTGGCTGTAGTTACTGTGCCATCACATCTTATTCAGGTAAATTCTTACTCAACATTATACAAAATAATACAAACTAATACTACTGGGCTCTTGCTTATAGTAGCTTCTTTAAGTTATGTGTTTTGATTGGGGGTCCTAGTCCTTGTGCGCCTGAGTCCAGTCTGGCCTCTCAGTGTGAAGGTGGAGTCATCTGCTGAGGCATATGGCAAACCACAACCCTACGCCAGAAAGTCCACAAGTACATGAGGGCAGAAGCAGCTGATGCTATCCTCCTCTTACATTTATCATAATGTTGGACACATATAATTCAGATTCATGTCTTTAAGATCTATGTTCGTCACACAATGTTCTTGGTCCTTGTTCCATCTGCAGTAGTAATCAAGGTATTAGAAGGTTGAGGTCTAACTGGCAGATGTTCTCTGTGGTGGCAAAGTTCCCTCTGTCTTTTGTTGGCTCGGACCACAAAGCCTTAATCTTCTCCCACCCTTCTGGCTCAACCTTAAGGAAGAAGCAAACTGCAGACAGAGAGGAGGGAATCAGGTGTTGGGCGTTGGAGCCCTTTCTGCCCATAATGCCTTGTCCATAGTTTGTTTTAACTTTGCGATTTCAAATACTGCATTTCCAACGTTCTCTGGCCTGCCACAACCAGGGATCTATATTTTGGCCCACCCCAAGAAAATTATAAAGGCTTTCATTTGTCTGCTAAGTTTTTATACTTCCAAAAGTTTTCGTCTTTCCCCTCTTCCTTCCCTTTTTCCTCTTTCTTCTTGGCGGAGTAGACAAGGAAAAAGAGTCACTTTTAATTGTCATAGACGCACGGACGCAGGAGGGACAGTGACAGCACTCGTTATCTGGATGTAAAGTTGTAAAACACTATGTAGTTTATTATAATCTGACCCATATTAGCAGAGAAATAAGATGAATGACAAAAGTCATTTACAGTGGAAACAGTTTACATACACCCTGTAAAAAGTTATACATTTTTACTAGGGCTGGGATAAACGATTACTTTTTAAACGATTAATTTAGCAATTATTTTGTCGATGCATCGATTAATCTAACGATCAATTTTTTCACTTTGATTTGATTGTCGATTATCTCCCCATTTATTGACTAATATCAATGTATACATTGTGTGTTGATTTACATATCTGAATGAAAAAACATGACTTCCTTAACAAAATATATTTATTGCTCTTAAAATTCAAAAGTAATAATTCTTAGAGGTAGCATAAAACCTTGAAGCCTTGAAAACACATCTTGCTTACTGAAAAAAGTGCATCTTAGTCTTCTTTCAGATGAAAATACACTTGATGTTTAGCATTCGATAAAATAAAATAAAAAGTTCACCCAAAATACTTGTTTAGAGCAACTGAAAGAATACAGTAACCAATGTAAAAAGAAAAAACAATGAAAATGAACCTTTAGAATTCAACAGTTATGTTGGACATAGGCCTAGCTGACTGAAAAAATCTTCTTCATTCAAAAATAACAACTTGACTATGACACTTTCCTTTCCCCTTAAGAATACTGTCTGTCTCTTTGTGTGTGCTTGTGAACATTCCTCCAGCTAAACTAGCACAGCTAGCATGTAGCGCAGCTAGCATGTTCGTCGATGCTGAAGTACCGTCTAAAAATAAAATAAACGGATGGCGCACCGCCGTGAACACATACTGTTGTTATATAAAGTCTCTGGAAGGTCTCTGGACACAGAGACGCTGCAGAGCTGCAGTATTGGAGAAGAACTTTACACAAAAAGCCGCTATCTTAACTCCGCTAGCTTAACTCCGTTAGCCCAGGACTTCTGGTCTCAACACCCCATGCCTCTGTAATTTAGAGAATGTGCGTCTACTGCGCGTGGAAACTGCGTTCCAGCGTTGGTGGCATGGATATATAATAACTGGATAGGGTATTACTAGCTTACAGCTGTCCCACCCATGGGCACAGGGGGCGCCCGTGGTACTGCAGACTAAGTTCACACAGGCTACCCAGAAAAAAGTCCCATAGAACCCAATGTAAATTAAAACAGCTCGACCTCAGCTGACAGAGAACCTACAACTTTCATAAATATCGGATTTTGTGGGGATTTTTGTGTCCCTTGTCATCCTGAACTTTTTTTCTTCTTAAATCCTTCTGTTTTCTTTAAATCCACACTTTACTGCCACAAACTCTGCTCCTTTCATTCCCGCTCTGATTCCGCTCTACCAGCAGCTCTGATTGGTCAAAGCGCAGCCAAGCCCCTTTGTGCGCCTGCTTGAGAGCCACACACGCGTATTTGGCGCAAAGCATCATGGGTGCTCATCCACTGCGCAGAACCGGGAGGACCAGACAATGCCCAAATATAGGCGAGTTCTGCTAATCTCCCGGTCTCTGTGAAGTCCCATGCGCTACTGAGCACAAGCCATTCATTTGAATAGGGCGCCATCTTGGATCACCGGGGCTTGGTCGGTGGTCTGAACGCCCCATAAGACCGCACTCGCGTACTACTGCTACTACTCGCCGCCATCTTTGTTTTGAGTATGACGAATCGACGCTCATATTTTGCGTCGACGTCATCGATTACGTCAATGCGTTGTCCCAGCCCTAATTCTTACCCAAAAAGTTCATTGGAGGCACAGCTGTGGAAGTATTTTACCACTACATCTCAAACGTTCTGTAAACAAAAAATCAAATGAATTCAGTTTTTCCAACAGCCCATTCATTTTACCGCACAGTAGGGCGACTGATCCAGTGCCCAGGGAAGGACATGTTTTTGTCTGAAATGTGAGAATCAAAACCAGAACAAACCAAAGCTAAAGAACTGTTGGTTGATGAGAATGTAACATATATGACATGTTCTGTACTAGCAGGGAATGAACAACCTCTCTGCAAAGAAGCCATTTCACTCCTAGTCTTTTGGTCTAAAGTGGAACTGTTTTAAATTTGGAGGAAGCATACTTTGAGACATAGGCAGTCTCATGTTTTGAGGCTCGTTGTTGCAGGATGAACTGCTGAACTTCCTTAAATAAATCGCATCATGAAGAAGGAACAGTGCATGAGGAAATGCTAAGGCAACATTTCAAGACAAGACATAAGCAAAGAAATTGAGTGTTTGGGGAAATGGCCAAAGTAGTTGCAAAGTAGAATTTATTGGCCCACATCACCCACTGTCAAAAGATCCACCCACACATCACTATTTATGCACTAAGTTTGAGCTCCTGTGCTTCCTTTATTGTGTCTAAACATGTTGGTCTTTTCTCCCTTGCCTCAGTTTCTCAATCAGTATGTGTATTTGCTGTACATCCATTCACCTCTCCCAATATTGTATTATTAATCCAATTGAAAATAGATAAATAACTGACTTAACTTTTTTTTCCTTTTTTAAATACCTCAGTACAAAGAAAAGTTAAAAAGTTAGCGGATCTTTGAAAACAGACAAAGAAGAGTGTATGTATTTAAACGAAGGAAAATGACACAAGTAATATCTCTTCTTTGCAATGTCTTCCCTGCTCACACAGCGGCATCCACACGTTGTGTGTTGAGTGGTGGACACAACCTTTCTTTCTTCGACTTGTGTGAAAATAAAAAGTTTAGAACATGTGTAAGGAATTTTGAACATTTTGTTAACAGAACGGATAAGAACGAATCAGAGACCGGGTATGAGGAGCCATCCCTAAATGTGCCCTCTCTTGGCGACACAATTATAATATTTATTATAATAATAATGCATCGGTTTTATATAGCGCTTTTTTGGACACTCAAAGACGCTTCACATGTCATTATTCTTTCACTCCATACACGGTGGTGATAAACTACTACTGTAGCCACAGCTGCCCTGGGGCACAGTGACAGAAGCGAGACAACCAGTATGTGCCATCGGCCCCTCCGATCACCACCAACCCTTCACACACACAAGACTCATTCTAGGCAATGGGGGTGAAGTGTCTTGCCTAAGGATACAACGGCAGTTTGGCACTTTACAGCCGCAGCCGCCCCACTGTGGCATCAGGTGTTCCCAGAGGTTAAGTGTCTTGCCAAGGACACAACGACAGCAGACAGTGGGAGTCAATGGTGAAAGTCGGGCCCCAACCCACGACCCTTTAGCTCAGGGGTCACCAACCTTTTTGAAACCAAGAGCTACTTCTTGGGTACTGATTAATGCGAAGGGCTACCAGTTTGTTACACACTTAAATAAATCGCCAGATATGGCCAATTTGCTCAATTTACCTTTAATTCTATGTTTTTACTAATAATTAATGATATTTATTTTGTGGAAAAACTTTTATATTTTCTCTAAGTGCACATTTTTCAAATTTAACAAATGATCACTTCTAAGACAGTCCCATTTAATCGCAATTAATCACATTTTAATCGCATATAAATATTTGACCTGAGAACAGTGAGAAGTAATTTTTTTCACATGGATTTTTAGTTTACCATTGAATAATGACTGAATACATGAGGCTTAAGCAACACATGTTAATATGGAGTTTAAGGGATAACTTCTAAACATCAAATAACGTTTCTGTCATTGCCTCCACACTCTGACGACAACATATGCTCCTCCTCCTCCTCCTCACACTGACGACAACATACTCTTTTTAAGCCCAAAATCCACTGCACACGCTGTGAGCACTAAAGCTGGGCATGCGCTGTTTGCTAAAGCTTTTATAATACGTTTTTGATGTGTACATTCGGAGTAAACATCAGCATTAGCAGCTCACACACCTGTGTCTCGCTCCTCCTTCTCCTTCTCCTTCTCCTCCTCCTCCGCTCACACAGGAGTCACTGCTCCTCCTCCTCACACACAGAGTCCATCGCTCCATACACAGCGCTCATTCCCGTCTAATTTACTCGAATTTAAAGTTGGTCTCTGCTTGTAATAATGTACTTTTGAACAAGAAAAGTCACGGAGCTCCGGTTGGTGCGTCAGTTCAATTGGTCCGTCTGAAACGTATTCAGTGAGGAACGTTCCGCGGTGCAAAAATACATACGATTAAAATGCGTAATTTTTTTAACGCGCTTTTTTGTGTGTAATTAATTTTTAATCTTTATTA